GGGGGCGAGAGGGGGCGAAAGCGCCCCAAGCAGGCACATGAGCCCCCTCCTGCAGGTGCCGAGGGCCCTGACACAGGGGGGGGACAGGCCAGGTGGCGGCCATCCTCAGCGGAACAGGGATGCGGACGACAGGACCAGCGTGCGCAACACCCCAGCTGGGGTCAGAACAACCGCACAGCTGGCACAACGGCAACGCCGAAGCCCCCTGCCACAGGTGCCGAGGGCCCTGATATGGCAGGGACGGGACGGTTCCCCGCAGGTGCCAAGGGCCCTGACACGGGGGGCCGCGCCCAGCAGGCCCGAGTGCCGGACAACTGGCAGCACACCGCAACGCCGAGGAACACGCCCAGGAGGCAGCCGATCCCACTTCCGGCGCCCAACATCATCAAGCAGGACCCGGTGGTTTTTCACAAGAGTTCTGTGGGGCTGAATGAAGGGGGCCAACGCCTTTCAGCTACCCCCCTGACAAGTCCCACGGAGCTGTCACCGGGAGGGGACACCTTCCGGTGGATGGAGAACATCCCGGAGCGCCTGTTACAGCGGCTGAGATGGACACAGGGCACATCGCCCAAAGTTCCATCCAGTGGGCCCATCATTGTCCTGCTCTATGCAGGCAAGGAAGACCCAACTTCCTTGGACAGCTGTCTTCATGCCAACTACCCGCACCTCTCCAGCATGGTGGTGGCAGTAGACATCCTACGACCGGGACCAAAAGGGAACCACGACATGCTCCAACCCGAGCTGTATGGAGCGCTCTGCACGGCAGCAAAGCAGGGCCGAGTGGTCTTCATTGGGGGAGGACCCAACTGCAGGACATGGTCCATCCTGCGCCACATACCAAAACCGGGGGCCCCCACCCCGGTGCGAGGACGCACTCGAGAGACACTTTGGGGCCTCCCACACCTGGACCAGGCCGCCCAGACTCAGCTTGATGAGGACAGTACCCTCATTTTGAGGCAGATGTACATCACCAGCCTGGCAAGGGCCTCAAGATCGGCGGTCTCGCTGCCAGGGCCAAAATCCTTCTTGGAGCACCCGGAGGACCCAGTGGTGAGCAGCTCGCTGCCCAAAGCCAAGGAATGCTCATCCTTCTGGATCACGGAGGAGGGGCAGCTTTGGATGGAGGAAAACTCCCTGACAGCAATCTCCTTCGACCAGTGCCGCCTGGGCCAGTTGGTCAAGAAGGCCACCACACTTGCCACGGATCTCCCACTCGAGGACTGGGATCAAATGCGGTGCACACATCAGTCACATGTGGGCACCAGCGAGTCCTCGACTCTCAGCAGATACCCCTGGGATATGATGGCAGGCCTGACCAAAGCCATCGCTGTGTCACTCGCGGCGCCGGGGCACATCCGGATCCCCTCACAATTCCCGGGAAACCCTAAGGAACCACCTAAGGGAAGGGGTCGGACCCCCCTGGGGGCCCTTCTCCCCGGGAAAAACGGGGACCCAATCAGGGAGGCGGTCCCTCCCCGTCACACCAGGGCCCAGAGCCCGGAGGCAAGAGTGCCCCAAAGCCCCGCCAGCACGGGCACATCCACCAGGAGGCAGACACCGTAAGCCCTCGTGGAACTATGAACCCAGACTTCCCATCTCCCATGCCCCCGATGGCCGGAGATGCGGAACAACTGGAAAAGGAAGAACATGGGGACCAGGTCCTAGACCGCCCCGAATGTCTGCCCGCTTTCCGGGTCCCACGCCTCATTGACCGAGTTGCGATTGTCCAATTGGGTTTCCGATCACGCCCCCTGAGGGATGGGGGGGGGAAACCTTCCCCGGGGAGGCTCAACCCCCCCTTTCGAAGAATTTCCCCTTTGGCCACTTTGGGCGCCCTGATCATGACCCTTACCAGGCCCTGGATTGATAAGGTCCGGATGTCCCTGGCATCAGGTGCCACCACACACCCCTTCCAGGAAGCCGACCTCGAGGAGCTGCGGGCTATCCTAGGACCGAGGCACCTCCATGAACGATGCCCAGGACAACCCTTCCTCCTGGACTTAGTGTCGCACTTGGCATCCCTCTCAGGTGACCCTGACTGGGAGTTCCCCCTTACACTGAAGGAGGGGGTCCCCTTGGGAGTCTCGGACCCTACCTTGACCTCCCCGGGAGTTTGGCCCACTAAGGAGGAGCTTAAGGGAGAAGCCTGGCTGGGGGAAGACCCCCCCCCGCCAGTGGCTCATGATAACTACCCAACGGCTGAACTCTTTGCCGAGGAAATCGAATCAACCTTTTACGAGGAACGAGCCTTGGACATGGTGGACGGGCCCTTCACTCGCTCCGAGGCGGCGGAGAGGTGCCGTTGCCAACCGGAGGAACTTTGCCCTGGGCCCCTTGCAGGGATTGATGAGTCGGACAAGATCAGGACGATCTACGATGGCTCAAAAGGGGGAGCAAACGCACACATCCAGGCTCACACAGCGGAGAAGACCACGGCACCGATGGTCGGAGACTGCCTCCACGCCATCCACTGGCTCAGGACAGCGGCGGACCATCCCCATTTACTTTGGGCTACGTTCCCGAACACTGAGGAGAGACTTCGGGATGTCCACCAGCCGGTGCAGGGGCAGTCCCCAGGTGCCGAGGGCCCTGAGAGGGACCCCCACAGCACCAGCCTGCCCCCCAGGGCCGAGCAGCCTGATCGGGGCAGGGGGATTATGGATACCTCCGGCGGCATGGACGTCTCGCTGGGATCGACACCCTCAGAAAAGGGACCACTCCCAGGTGCCGAGGGCCCTGATAGGAGGGTCCCCTTCCCCCCACCCCCCCCGGGCGCGGAATGCCCTGAAAAAAGCGGGGGGGAACCCCTGAGCTGGCAGCCGCCGACACAGGGGGAAACCTTCATCATCCTCAAGGCAGATGTCACCAAGGCCCACAGGCGTATTAAAGTGCTCCCTAAAGACTGGAAATACCAGGTGGCCTGCATCCAAAACCGGTGGTGGGTCAACAGAGTGGGCACGTACGGCATGGCCTCGGCACAGCTGTACTGGGGGAGGAAGGCATCCCTGGTGCTCAGGCTCTTGTACTACATCTTCCCCCAGGTGGACTGGCACTTAGTCTTTGTGGACGACTACTGCTGGGTCCTCAGATGCAGCCGGGCGGACTGGGACGCCACAGCCATCTTGGCTACACTGCTGGCGCTGGGAGTCCCGCTTTCCTGGAAGAAGACGGCGCTCTCCCCGATCAACACCTGGTTGGGTTTTGTGGTGGACCCAATCACGCCCTGTGTACTGCTGGCTCCAGTCAAACATGTCATAATCCTGGCCACTCTTAAACGGCTGGCCCAGGGGGACATCTTCACCAGCAAGGAGGTGGAACAAGCCTTAGGCCGTATTCAATGGGCTACTTCGGCGTGCCCATTGACGAAACCTTTCCTCCAGCCTTTCTGGAGCTGGAAGAAGGCCTGCACCACTTCGGGCAGGCCACCGAAGCTGGTTCGTGCTCTGGCCATCCTTTTGGGGAGACTCTTCAACCAGAGGTTCCCACTGGCATCCCCGTTTGCTCCCACACTCCCATGGACGGGGGCATCTGATGCGGGAGCTGGTAGACAGGCGGACCATGCATGGGTTGGTGGCTGGTGCTCGGACGTGCCCAACCCCGATAAGTCCTGTGTTAAGTGGTTCCAGCACAGAATCACACCGGAGGGCGAGCCGTGGGCCTTCGCTACTGGGGACCCGCAGCGGGCGATAGCGGCCTTGGAGCTCTTCGGCCTCCTCCTCTTGGTGAGGGCCGTTCTGCTTTGTGCAGCCGGCTCGGCTTCTCACACTAGGATCCTGGTGGCTAGTGATAACCAGGGAAATGTTTTCTCCCTTCTTAACGATTCCACTCGCAGGATGCCCAATGCGGCCATCCTCATGGAAATTGTGCTCACGCTGCATGACCAACAGGTCATGTTGGGGCCGTCGCATGTGAAACGCGACTTCAACACGTGGGCGGATGAGCTTACTCATCCGGACCCGCAGTTCCCGACTGAGAACCGGGTCTTCCCCTCAGTCGAGAGCGAATTGATCACACTGATCTTCGCTACTTTCCTTCCTCACCCATGATGCCGGGAGGGCATCCGGTGAGGTGGGAGGATTTCTCCCTCGCTGTGGGAGTGGCATCAATCCTACTCCCATCAGCTGCTGAGGGGAGCTGCCCAGTGGAACTGGGCAATCCTCCCATTTTGGCACTAACCCTTATGCGGCAAAAAGGAGGCACCGTTTTGCGTGTAAGGCTCCAGTAGCACCTGAGTGGTGCTTCAAAGAGTCATATCTATGTAAGCGGGCGCGTATGTGTATGTGTGTATGTGTGTGTGTGTGTGTCTGGGTGTGTGTGTGTGTGTGTGTGTGTGTGTGTGAGTGCGTGCGTGCGTGCGTGCGTGGGTGCGTGGGTGCGTGGGTGCGTGGGTGCGTGGGTGCGTGGGTGCGTGGGTGCGTGGGTGCGTGGGTGCGTGGGTGCGTGGGTGCGTGGGTGCGTGGGTGCGTGGGTGCGTGGGTGCGTGGGTGCGTGGGTGCGTGGGTGCGTGGGTGGGTGGGTGGGTGGGTGGGTGGGTGCGTGCGCGCGCGCGTGCGCGCGTGCGTGCGTGCGTGCGTGCGTGCGTGCGTGCGTGCGTGGGTGCGTGGGTGCGTGGGTGCGTGGGTGCGTGGGTGGGTGGGTGGGTGGGTGGGTGGGTGGGTGGGTGGGTGGGTGGGTGTGTGTGTGTGTGTGTGTGTCTGTGTGTGTGTGTGTTTGTGTTTGTGTTTGTGTTTGTGTTTGTGTTTGTGTGTGTGTAACACGATCCCTATATTTTGTGATCATCGGTTTCGATGCCCTGCTTAAACTGGAGCTTGAGATTGAGGGAGAAGTTCAAGATGTAACAGCCCAGAATGAACCCACTACAAACAGCCTGAGCTTGACTTCGGATGCATAGCCTCATGACGGTCGGGTCCCTGGGGCTCAAGACAAGAGGCGCAATTATTTTGAACAGAAACAAATGCCATCCCTTTCCCACATACCAGTATCAAATACAAGTGCCTTTCCAACAATTGCTTAGCTTTCGACATGGCGGCGCCAAGATACGGTGCTATGAAGTTGTTGCTTTTGCTGCTCAACGCCTGCCGAGGGGCAGGTCTTGAGGTGGTGGCTGACATCCCGCAGGGTCGCCGCCTGGCGCTGTCCTGCAAGGGGCCTGCGCTGCGCTTGCGGCTTGCCTCCGCCGCGCCTCTGGAGACTCCCATGCTGGACCCAGGGCTCAGCGGAAGCTGCACAGAGGTGCAGGGCAAGGAGCGTGGCGTGTCCACGGCGGCTGGCTCCTTGACCGTGGACCAGCTGGGCGTTGTGAGGCTCCGCACTCCAGGTGGTGTTATTAGCTCCATCCCAGTCCGCAGCGATCAGATGATAGGCTTCTACCAGAAGAAGAGGCTTTTCGGTGGTGGCAGCAGCTCACAAGACAGCCATGACTTGACGTCGACCAAAGTCATCCCAATGGTGGGCAACACGGGTGTCTACACGCCCCACTACTACTCGGAGGATGGATATGCAGCCTTGGCAGTGCTGGAGAAAACGGACAAGAACAAATACCCGGCCGTTTATGAGATGAAAACGTTTGGCAGCAGCCAGCGGGTGTATTGGTACTTCACTGGCGCTTGGGATCTCTATCTTATGCCAGCACAAACTCTACGAGAAGGGACGCAGGCCTTGTACACCCTCACTGGCCGGCCCCCAGTGCCACCCCGCTATGCTTTCGGCTTCATGGCCAGCAGGTGGGGCTGGCAAGATCGGGTTTACATTGAAGACACGCTGCAGCAGTTCCGTGATGGCCAGTTTCCCTTGGATGCGATTATCATGGACTTTGAGTGGTTCACCAATGAGACGGACTATGGCTATGCACCAGGTGAGGGCCAGCCCTACTACCAGGACTTTGGCTTCCGCGATGTATTGTTTCCAGAACCAAAGTACCAGCTGGCCGACTATCTGCAGCGATATCATGTGCGGGTCGCTGGCATCCGCAAGCCACGCATGGGCAACTCCAAGCTGCTGCAGGAGCTTGACGTCAAGCGCTGGCTGACGGAGGACTGCGAGCCCTCCGCAGGGTACCCTCCATCGTATCCAGGATATGCATGCGGCAGGCATGTGAACTTCTCGGATGCAGCAGTGAGAGATTGGTACTCTGGGCAAATGCAACCCTTGATCAATGCCGGTATGGCATTTTGGTGGAACGATGAAGGCGAGCATGACTACTTTGCCTTTCACCACTGGAATGTAGCTCAAAAGCAGGCGCTTGAAGAAGCGCATCCGAAAAGGCGATTCTTCTCCTTGAACCGTGCCTTCTCGCCTGGGATGGCTCGGCTGGGCGCCGCGGTCTGGACTGGTGACGTCTTGGCCAGCTGGGATTGGCTGCGCAACACGCCCGGCACGATGCTGAAATGGGTGCTCGCTGGGCATCCGATGGTTGGCTGTGACTCTGGCGGCTTCGTGGGTGAAACAAGCGGCGAACTTTTGGTTCGCTGGCTGCAGGTGGCTGCATTCATGCCCATCATGCGTGTGCACTCTGAGCTGAAGGTGAAGCCGCATTGGCCATGGCTTTGGGGGAAAGATGCAGCGAACGCAATGCGGCAGATCCTGAACCTGCGCTATAGATTGCTGCCGTACCACTACTCCCTGGCACACGCCCAGTATGAAACAGGCGACTTGTGGATCAAACCACTGGCTATGGACTTCCCTGATGATCCAGAGGTCAATAGCTTGACCACGCAGTGGATGGATGGCTCCATTCTGGTAGCGCCTGTCCTCAATGAGGACTCATCCCACGAGGTGCATTTGCCACGGGGACTTTGGTATCGACTGGACAAGGTGCTTCAGGCAGCGGATCAAACAGCGAGGAAATCTTTGAAGGCTGTTGTTGGACGCCGCACAGAGACACGGCCGCAGCTTGTCGCAGAACCCTCGGGCAGCAAAGTTACGCTCTCATTAGACGAGGTGCCATGCTATGTGAGGCCTGGCACCGTTCTGCCGCTATCATCAGTAGTTCAACACAGTGATGACATTGGCAACACACCTTTGGAGGTCTTCATATTTGGGGGTGCCGATGGCGAGTTCAAGCTGGTGGAAGATGATGGTTGGTCGACAAACTACATGCAAGGTGCCAAGCGATCCACGCAGCTGACTTGGTCGGATGCCAGCAAGACCTTGTCCTGGCAGAGCTCCGGGGCCCCACCCGAGCAAGGCTTCACTGCCATTGCCGCGTACCTGATCGATGTGGAGGGCAACATGACCAAGGCACCGACCAAAAAGCTGATGGCTGCTGGCACAATCAGCTTTAAGGCCGTGTCCACGAATACCATCTTTCAGTAGCGCTTGATCCGCCAGCCAAAACGGCGGATACTTTTGCAAATACCTGTGCTCCAAATAATTCAACGCTTGTCTGGTGCCTTTAGATGTACCGGAGTCTAGGCATCATTGAGAGCAGTCGAGCATTCTGGTAGAAAGAAGAATGGGCTGCGCACGCTGCGTACTCAGATTGTTGATCAAAGAACAGTCGTCATCTGGAGTAGGAGCTCGAATGTGGAATAATGTTAGCTTTAAGGTTCTTGCGAAGAACAACTGCATTTCGGGGAAATGTTGAGCGGTGTGCAAGACAATCTGGTCGGCGCAAATTGGATCTTCAACTTTGAGCTGCTCAGGCTTTCTTCCGGAAAGTTACCATGTCAGATGGTCGGGCAACAATGTCAATCATGAGTTGAGTGGATCATGCTACAGCTTTACATGTACCCACCTACAATTTCCAGATGAAATAGAGTCCGATTGTTGGGACAACGTGCTATGGAAGATGGGGAATGTCAGCAGCGGTCTGACAGACGGCGTTCTTCGAGCTGGTTGCTGTGTGCAGCGACGCCCCCCAGTTCGTTGTTTCAATCCCGCTCTCAACCTCCAGCTGGTGAAGTGGGAGAATGCCCAGAACAAGATTGAGGAGGTTTGGTTAATCCAAGACACCGCAGGACTTTCTCAAGGTCCTCAGTTCGAGCTAGATCGCCAGGCGATCGTGTACAACCTTAGTGATGCCTCTGGATCGTTGACGCCTTTGCGGCTGGACTGGCGGCCAGATGGCTTGGCTTTCATGCACCCAGCCACAACAGCTCTATGTCCTTTGTGCAATTGATTTGGTTGGTTTGTTGATTTTGATCGATTGCCAGATGGAAAAGGTCAAAGGGCCATTGTATGAGTTTGACATTCGTAATAATCAAGCCAATATTTTCTTGGCCGACACAGCAAAGGAAGGGCGGATTGTCGAAAGACTGCATAAGCATGAAAGTGCCCGCGGAGGCGCTGTCATTGGAAGTTCTCATTGGACATCTACAGACTGTCGCACTGAAGCTTGGCTGCAAGTAGAGCTGCCCATCCAGAGCCACAACACATTTTGCTATCAGGGCACATTTTGCCAAGCGAAGCGTCAATGTACCAAGCAGGTGTGGCATGCATGATATGAAAGTGTGCGATTTGGTTTACCAAGAAAGCTGTCTCGTATGGACATGACACGAGCAATGTGGGCGACTTTTAGCATCATTTCTTACTTGGCAGGAAGGAGTACGACGCGAAGACGTTCAATTCAAAGGACTTCTGCAGCTCGGCTCGGAGTTGTAGAACGTGCCTCTCTGATAAACATGAAGTAAGTAGCAGAGCTGCCCATTTCCAATTGCCAAGGCCAGATCATGTATGGTCTCGTCCAGGGCAAGGAGGAGCGCAGCTCTAAGGCAACTTCAAAGTGAGGCAGCTTGATAAGCCGTTTATGGAAGAGTTTGCACCGGCTTTTTCCGACTGTCCTGAATGATGGAGAGTGCCTGTTGTAGTTTGCGTGCTCATAGGGCATGTATGTCAGTGGAAAAAGCGGCGGCACCACCAGCTTGCGTGTCTTTTGAACACGCATTCTTGTGCGCAGGTTGTCAACATTTTCTTGCAACAAACAAACGCGGACCTCGTATGGCTGCATTGATGAGTGCAGAGTCGCAAGATGTTGACATTCATTGGATGCTTTGCCGAATCGTTTGGCTTCAGAGCTCCGGAAGAATTGCGTAAACAAGAACTTACAAGCCTTAGAGACTCGGTCCATGGCACTCTGGCATTGGCTTCTGACTTTTCATCTTGGCCGAGCTGAGTGGCCCCTCCCTGCCGAGCAGCATGAGCTACACGGGGTGCAAACCTTTGTACACTGGCCAGGCCGCGTGGAAGCAGTGCTGCTGCTTTTTCACGGCTGCAACAACCAGGGCAGCGACTGGTTCCAGAAGCCAGAAGAGGTGATTTTCCTGAGAGAGGCTACTTCGCGCGCAAATGCAGTGATCGCATTCACAACGCCCCGCCACAGAGGAAACTTTTGCTGGCCAAATGCGGATGGTGACAGCGACGACTTTGAAACAAGCGTAACAATGATATACAGAGCTACAGCGGCGCTTCTTCAGATGAAGGCAAAGCCAAATGGAAAGAAGCCGACTTTAGTATTGGTGGGAGCCTCCTCTGGCGGCGTTTTTGCGCGCAGGACCCAGACACTGGTAGTCTAAACATTTGCAACTGTATTGGCTTGCCTTGGCACCTGTAGAATAAGGTCTCATTTGCCCAACAAGTGGCAAGATAGCCAGGATGTCTGGAAGGCGGTGGTTGCAAGGGTTCAACTTGACGCGCAGAGAGCTACTGTGTGTTCACAGAGACCATAGATGTGACGCTCAGATCAGTGCATTCCTTTCAGTGGTCTCGCCTACAAGCTTCGTAAGGCTCGCATTTCTGGTCGGCGGTGAGAGTTGGGACAGTCTTCGGGTCAGGAAAGGCGAGCTGCTGCAAGCTCCCGGAGAGACCTTTCCCCGCACGGTGGGGGTAGACACGCTTGAACGAAAGACCCTGCACCGCCGCATGTCGCTTGCAGGGCCTCGCCTACATGCCCAAAGATGTTTCCTTTGCATCAGAGGCAATGTTCTGCGATTGGCCTTCCTTAGTTGTCATGATTGACGTGGGTTGAGGAGGCGACAACTACACTCCTCGGAAGCCTTCAAAACTTGGGAGTTGCTGCCAAGGCATGGAGAAGGCCACATCTTGACACGCATCACGTCCTGAGTGCAGCAGGCCTGGGCAGTTCACCCGCGCCGGCTTACGCCTGCTGATTTTGCAGATCGCTTTCGAAGTGCAGGCTTGGTCATTCAGGAGACGCTGACAATTTGCGTATGTTGTTTAAGGGCACGGGGCTTCACAAGTGGTGTGCGGCTAGGATCACGCAGTAGAGAGATTCATCGAGGCAGCTTCTTTTGCCTTTGAAGTTGGCGCGCAATTGCAGGAGTCATTGCGTGTTTGTGCCTAGTTTGTGAGGCATTGAGCGACCTCGGGCTGGTAGATGGTGGCGAGGCAAGCTTCACAATGGTGGTTGTTGCATCACCTGGATGCATGCTGGGATTGTGTAGCACACACTCTGACAAGAAACTCTTGAATTGCAAATTGAGTGAAACCGTAGGCCGCCTGCGTGTTTCTGAGACGCTGATCACAATCACTAATGTTTGAAGATCTCGCAGGTGCTAGATGATCCCAGGCGATTTCCATGGGAGAGGGCAATCAGTTTGCTGAACAAGGAGCCTGAGGGAGCAAAGCATTACTGCGCGAGTGCTGGTGAGAACACACCCAGTAACTTATGTTGCATTTAGAAACTCAATTCCGTACAACCTGAGGACTCTGATCTTGGCTTGGAAACTGGATTGACAGGGTGCAGGAATGGGTGGTTGGGTAGCCCCATGCACAGGTAGAAGCTTGCTGCTCATTTCACTAGAATGGCAACGCTACGCAACTTTCGAGATTTTTGTTGCCTTCCTTGTGCAACCTTTTCCTGCGCACAGGACACGCCCCCCGCGTCGAGAAAGCTTCGACTTCGATGCGCGGAGGCCGGAGCTTGAGCTTTGCTCGCGAGCGAGTGATTGGGCGGAGTCGGAGTCAGGAGCTCCTGAACCGCGCCTGGGCACAGCATGAGTTTGCCCTGGCTGACATCGCCTCGGAGGCCAGCGTCCATTTGCCGGCAACAGGGCCCATCATTGAAGCGGCGCAGAACGCTAGTCGGAAAGATGATCACCTGTGTAGAGTGGGTGCCTGCGGAGCTATGAGCCATCTTTCCAGTCTCGGCATGTGGCTCAAGGTGCTGGACTTTCTCCTGCCCCTGGGCAAGGAGGCTGTTCTCTCTATTTGTCACTGCCTTTTCAGTACCCTCAATGCTGGGCCGGCTGCCAGGTCACAGGAAGCTCAGAGCTTTAAGCAGGTGGAGCTCAGCAAGGACGCAAAATCCATGACAGACACTGCTTCACATGGAGCACTGCTTCACTGCCACACATTTCAAACAAGTGCTCATGCATGTTTTGCCCATTCCATGATTGTTTTTCAACCCTGGTTGATTTTTTGTCCATCCACTTTCACGCAATCGATCCGTTGCTTCTTGTCGCAGGCACGGCTAACACAGAAGTTGTATCATTGGGGGGCGCCTGTTCGTTGATCCCTGGAAAGGGGGCAATGCGCGATTCAATGATCGGTATCCGATGTTATGTGCACATCCATGCAAAGAAGAAGGCTTGTTTTGCTTCAGCTTCCCACATCACACCTCACTGGAATCTTCTATATTGGAGAAAGGCACAACCACAGTCTGGATCGATTCCCGTGATTTCTTTTTTTCGTCGCGGCGCAAGTTTCCCATGCAAGTAATCAATTTCTAGAATCGGCGTGTGTGTTTGTCGGGTGCTTCACCGTGCAGCTTCCAGTGTTGCAAAACAATATAAGAACGCTTTCATGATTGAACAGGGATGATTATGTCGTTCCATGATGTTCAAAAGGGTGTGCGCTGCTATTGGTTGTCTTTCAATTTTCCTGATGATTGCTGGCGATTGTTTGGCTCAAGCTCCATATGGAGCGAATGCAGTGATTCTGTGGTACATGCAGTAAATTCTGCTGCATTGCCCGGACCTTGGTCCTTTGCTATCAAGAGAGTGGCGCGGCAGCGGCAGACAGCACAATCAGCCTCATGCCGTTTTGCTTGATTGTCTTATGCTGCCCCATGCGTATTGGCTCAAGACGACTGAGTCGGCGTTGAATCAAGCTCGGTGCTCAGGCAAATAAGTACTATTTATGGACCTGTGCGCTATCAAGATTGCTGGAATTCAAGGCAGTCATTGGACTTATTCTGATCTCGATCGGTTGGTAGGCAGTAGCCCTGCGGCAGTTGTCGTTCGCGACCGTGAACCTGGGAATGCAAGCAACTCCAACGATGTTGGATATTGGCTTGGTGCTTGTCTGTATAGGTAATGTTGCAGAGTGATTAATAAAGGCCCCCCCCCCCCCTCAAACGAATTGGGGGGTCAATAGCGAAAACCCCCAAAACAAAATGTGGGTCAGACTGGGACCTGCCTGAGTAATTTTCCAGTAAGTATTGTTTAGAATTGGTTTAGTATTGGTTTAGTATTCCTTTGAGCTGGCTCACTACGGTTTAGAATTGGTTTAGTATTAGTTCAGTATTCTTTTCAGTTGACTCACTACAGTTTAGAATTGGTTTAGTATGGGTTCTTCTTCTTGGCAGGCTGCCCTGGCCATTTTTTTTCACAGTTCCCTACCCTTAAACAAACTGCATTATTGCCTTCCTGGGATTTCCGTGTGCCACCCCCTTGAAAATTTGTCAGGGTGCATCTTCTAGTAAAGGGATTGATAAGGAATTTGGTGGTTTGGGACAGGAAGCAATCCAGAAATTCTGGACATTTCTGGCTGGACTCAAACGTTTCAACTCAAAAATAGTCCATTCTTGGAAGGGAACATATTTTCGGGATTTCGGGCAGATTTTTTCTGCAATACCTACCCCTTTTGCTTTTCAGGAGAGTGATTAATTTTAATATTTTTTTCTGTATTCACTCCCCCTTTATTAATCGCTATCTAACATTATTGGTCCTGCGTCTATCCCGGTTGCCCTTCCCAGCGTTCAGATGTAAACCAGACTTGCATCCAACCATAAATGAGGGATGCATGCGTGCTCTCACATGTCAGTTTTGAACTCCCCGACATGCCAAGCCAACTTCTGTACATGAAGTCTATATGAGGACAACCACCCAGTGGGGGCCCTTTATCATCCCAGACACTAGACACTATTTCATGCGCCGAATGGGTCTTGATGAGATTAGAACTTCTTTCTGACTCTAGCCCTTGGCAAGTCCTGGTGTTGCAGAGAATCCATTTCGCTAGCAACAAATTCATGAAGTGCGGAGAATTGCCTTGCCAGATGTCTTGCAACCGAGGCAGCGATGGGCGGCTTGATTACAGCGCCGCTCTCTGGTGTCGCTGGCCTCAGGCTTCGCCCCAAAACCGCCTCTCGCTGAGTTCGAACGAGGCTGGCACTTGCCTGGGGGGCTGCTTCGGCAGCTGCTTGGCAACTGGCTGCTGCCTGTGGCTTAGCTTCAGAGAGCACAGTTCGAATTGCACGGTGCGATCTTTCTTGGCAAAACAAAATCACAGGCAAGTTGGCGGGTAGTGGCAACGTCGCTGACCCAGAGCGCGTCAAAATGCTTTGAGCTGGAATGATCCCAACTTGAATCGCACCAGTGGCATTTGTTTCAGACATTAAGGTGAGCTCCGCGAAAGCTGCGCGATTTGTTCTGATCTGGTTGCAGGCGCTTGGAACTGATTGCTGTCAAAGATGTGCTTTACGATTGCAGCCTTCCTTGCTTGAATTGATGTGATGTTCCACAAGTTGGACGCTACACTCCAGACAATTTTCTCAAGGTCTTCACGGCGGCTTTGGCACTCTTGCTTTCGGCAACGGCTGTGCGAAACCCAGAAATCGATCTTTCATGTAGTTGGACGGAGGACTCGTTCTTTGGAGCCGGCTGGAAAAAAATGGCTTGGCAAAATGCGAAAAGAGTGAGTGGTGTTGCGGGACTTGTTTTGCGAACCATGTGTTGGGAGACTGAGCATGGGGTTGAAAGGAAGGCGTGTGAAAGGAGCCGATTGTTTGAGAGGCGAGTGGTGGAAGACAAGAATTGTGTTGGGCAAACGCGTGGACTTGAGAGCCCCCGGCCGCAATCAGCTCACTTAAGGAGCAGTGGCTGCCATGGACCTGTGGAAAGCTGGATATTGTCGGTGCTGCTGGCATGCTTGCCTTTCATTTTCCCAGCCGAGCGGTTTGAATTTCCGAGGTATGGCAGACTTTGGAGTTTGTGATTGCCGAACCGCAGAAAGCAGATGCTGGTCCGAACCTTTGTAACCCAAGATGGGCTGCCTTAGCCGCGCTGCCCGTCGCTTCAGGTCAGATCAGCTCATCTACAGATCGGAGGCACGGTCAGTGCGCAGCTCAGCTTGTGTTCTCTTTGGACCGGCATGCCAGGCAGCCGGAGCTGTCGTTTTCCTGGCACTGGTCATCATGTCGATCAGCGGATGCTCTGAGGGAGCTGCCAGGCGGGGCGCACAATTTAAGAGCCAGGGGACCGCGTGTTACGGTCTACTTTTTCATTTACAAGGATTCCATCTCCGGCATTTTCGATAACCGTCGGTTTTGGCTACAAGAGGATTTTGCTCACGTAGAGAGTTCCATTTTTGCAGCACGGATACTTGCGCGGCGGTTGCCTAATAGCCAGTTTACTCATATTGGCCGTCTAGAGCTTTTTTGCACCACGGCAATGAGCTCCAAAGGAGTTGTGGTACAGATTGGGGTGACTCACCATCACTTGGTTGTTCTCTTTCCTCTTTCCCTCCCTCTTTCCCTCATGTCCCTCATTCTCCTGTTTCTGTCTTTCTCTCTTTCTCCCCATCTCTCTTTTGTGCCCTCCCTCTCTCCCTCTCTCTCCCTGTTTCTCTGTCTGGCTGTGTCTCGTTTTGCAACAGGCATTGACGAATCAGCACACTTGCGACTTGCCGCTTAGATAGCAAGCCATTCTTTCTTCTGCGGATGTGGAGTTTGCAATCAGCTTTGCTAGCATTAGCATCATGCGCTGAACTTTGTGTAAGACGTCGAGATGGGACGGCATGGTTCGCGCAATGGCCGTCCTCGCCAGTTGTCTTGATTAGTCACTCACGCTGTCTAGGGAAGAGTTCCGACGGTATGGAGCCAGTACTTCTGTTATTCAGCAAAAGCTTTGCGACACAGGCACGCAACTGTGCTATTTTATCAATGTGTGTGCGTTTGTTTGTGTCCGTTTGTGCTGATATCAGCGTTAGCGTGAACTAGTGTTTGCGAGTGTTTGTGCGTGGCAACCATGTTGGTGATGGCGCCTTGCCAAAACATGGCGAGACTGCGGTCCATGCTTTGCACGCAATAAGAGACCATTCAATGTCAGTATAAAGACATGGCGAACTCTTACTCATAAGCAGACATTATAGTTTGGTGTCTTGATAGATTAGGGGCTGTGACAAACCCGCTAGTATGTATGTCATGCTCATTACCAATGTGAAATTCAGGAATGCCAAAGCAGCTAGAGAGCTGCAGGGTATGATTGAATGTGATTTATGGTAATAGACTCTTAATAGACATCAAGGATCAAGTTCTGCCATGCAGAACTTGCAAGGCCCATTTTTTTGGTCAGTGTCACACACCGCCTCCGTTGCACGCTCCGCTCAGAAGCTGCCAGGGCTTACTCCGTTGCCAAGTTCATGGCAGTTGTGCGGAGACTTAGCAGGTTTGGCTCCGGCTTTGTGCTCTTTTTTTTTGCCCCACAAACAAAGATGTGCCAGACCCAGGTGTGCCTCATCTTCATTTCGCTGTTTTTGCCAAATAACGTTGCTGCCCTAGCATGTATTCATACCAGTAGCAAGTGCAGCAATCCGCATGCCCACTTCGCAAGTGAGGTGTTTGCAAGCTTTGGATGTGTTGCCACAGCACTTTCCGCCATCTTCCTCGTGGCCCAGGTGCTATGAGCATGCAATGCATGCAGTCGATTCTGCCAAGCTGTTAAGCGCTTTTCCAAAGCTGTCGGCAGTCAATTCTGCTCATCGACTTCGGCTACACTTGGAACGTTGTGTCCTCGGCTTCACTTTCTTTTTCCCTTTTTCGGCTGCCTCCTTTCCTAAAGGAGTCGTGGTACGGAAATGCGCTGGAGGCAATGGAGCAGAGCTCAGCAAAATGAGAAAGCTCCTGTTGGCTTGGAAGGCAAGGCGCAGAGAGATTGGTGCCAAGGGTTACAGGACCGCAGAGCCCGGAAGAGCACCGTGGATTGAGCAGCGGTATTAGTATGAGAAGTATGAGTGTCCTGCCAGCGATTGCTGCGTGGCTGCATTTTCCAGGATGTGGCTGGGTGCGATGCTTCTGGC